TCATTTTCTTCTACCTCTCAGCATCAGGAACAGTATGCCCTTGGCCTCCCCCTACCTTTCGATTAGTTCACCCAGTAAAAACTCACTCCCCTTATTACCTCAGAATGCGCTTCACCTGTCCTTGGGTTCAGTGACACCCAAGTTTACTTGATTTTAAGAAACACCCAAGGTACTTGTTAAAAGTACAAATGCACAGGCCTGTCCTCAGAGCTTTTGTTTCGGGAAGTCTGGAGCAGGAAGTCAGGAAGTTTCCAGAAATGTGCATTTTTATCAAGGGCCTCTGGCGATTCTTCTGAGCCACCCTCGCTGGGATCTTGTCATCCTGGGTGTTTGTAGCCACAGATGCTGGTTGTGTGGGAAGACCCAGGTGCCAGAATGTCCAAGAAAGCTGGGAGCCTTCTGGTGCCACCACAGGCACTGTCACAGGATGCCAGGATCTCATACGGAAAAGACACGAGCAGCCCCAGCTCATGGCAACGTTTGCAGCAGCAAATTAGTAGGCCCTTCATAAGGAAGCATTCCCTCCACCCCCTCTCTGTCACTCGGAGTGGCGGCCTGAGGGTAACACGTTGGGAAGGGGCAAAGAGAGATGATGCCACACTGTGCGAGAGCAGGTCACAGCCCTCACAGCCTGGCCTCAGCGAAACCCTCAACGAAGGGCTGTTGGTTTAGTAAATCCTGACCACACGTGTACAACACAGGGAGTGACCGGCGAGGGGTGCTGCCTTCTCTGTCTGCCATTGGACTTACTGGTTGTAGGAGGCTCATAAACATCGTCAAGTCAGTACGCATCTTTGCAAGTGTGTAGACCCCAAGAGTCAAAGACAAAGGTGGATTTGGGTGACGCTAATGAACCTTAAGAAAAAGGGAAAACCAAGCAAGGTGTTCCCACGGTGGTCTATTTTTGTAAAATCTGCAAAAATCAGTTATCTTTGCAAGCTTTCCTTTAAGAGGGCTCCGTAAAACCCGGATTGTCCACCACAGCTCTTTGAAGAGAGGCTTAGAACCGCTAACCGCACAGGGAAGCAGGATGCTTCAGACAGCCATGCCCTCCCTGCAGCCTCGGGCCTCAACACCAACAGGGAATGCTCTGAGAAGGTCAACACACTGCCGCGGGCATGCCCAGAGCCCTCTTCTCTCCACACCTGGCCAGGTGTGCAGCGCTCCCCTCCCTCACTAGATCCCGGGAGCTGGGAGGAGCCAAGGAAGACCTTCCACCAGCCCTGCAAACTACTCAGACCCTTTTCACTGTCCCAGAGTTCCGGGGTTCTCACTCCAGCCCCTCCCGCCTGTGCCAGTTCCATTCTGGCCCCAGCCTGGGGTCCCCCACTCCATCCCCAAGTCAGTGACCATGCTGCTGGACTGTAAACAGCAAGGTGGCCATAAAAAGTGCCGATGCCTTATGTACAATCAGTGCTGTACAAACACTCTGTGATTCCATTTGAAAGATCTGCTTCATGTAATTTGTAGATTTTAGCTATTGGACTAAGATTGTTCGCAGAAATAGATTGTAATTTACTGCTGGTTCTCCGTTTCTTTATCACCGCGTAATTAGGACCTACAGCCAGCTCGCACTGTGGGGGAAACCTTGGTGTCATGCAGTGTGCATTTGAATGGAGTGCACGGCCCCCTCTTGCTTTCAGCAGCTCAGCTTCTCTGCAGTTATGTGTGTGCATAATTCTCAATCCCCTTAGGCGCCTGTAATCCATAGCCTTTCAATAAACCAGAGCTCGGGTTCTGCAACTGTCAGCCCCATGGATGCTTTCGGAGGAAAGGGCCTCGAACTGAGGTGTGTGGGCTCAGGGACATTGGGCGTACGCGTGAGCAGGACATTCGGAGGAAGCTCAGCATGGCCCGTGGGTCTTCCCCGGCTGTGCTCCCCACAGCCATCGGGGCGGTTACTCTGTCACGGAGATGGAGACATGGGCCAGCGGCACGCCCCCTGTCCTGTTTCTCACAGGAAAACACAGAACGCTCACGTGGGTAATGGAATGAAAGAAGACTTCAGATTCTTGAGAGGAGAACTGCCATCCCATTCTATAGGTTCTTTCAGTCGACAAAGGCATATCTACTGGGTGCCCATCACTGCGCTGGGCACTGGGGGTGTAGCTATGCAGTCTGTGCCCAGTAAGCGCACGTGCTACGGGGGAAAGAAACGCTGGTACCCATAACTGCATTGCACCACCGCAGGATTTATGAGACATATGAGGAGCAATTTGATGTAATGGGAAGAAGACGGACTTTGGAATCAAAGAGACTGGGGTTCAAATCCCACTTCTGCAATGAGTTCGGCTCTGTCACTTTGGGAAAAGCTGCTTCATCAAAGACCTGTGATTTCTTGAGCGCGTCGGAACGCGGACCTGGGCAGTGCTAAGGGCCTGTGGCTGCGAGGAGGGCGGGGCTGCCGAAAGCATCGTTCTCCCCTCCCACGGGGCCCAATGCACCTCAGGGGAAGCGGGCGGGGTGTGTCCAGTGATGGAGATTAGAAATGACAGATGTCAAGTACAGTGGCTAGCATATATCATAGGCATTTGATAAATGGTAGTTTTCATTGTTGACAACTGTTAGAAAACGCCATTTCTTCATGTCTCTGGAGTATTCATTGATTATTATTTTTTAATCCTCACCCAAGGATATTTTTTTCAAATATCTCCAGATAGAGTGGGAGGGGGAGAGAGAGAGAAAGAGAGAGAAACATCTATGTGAGAGAGACACATTGTTTGGCTGCCTCCCGCACGACCCCGACCAGTGCCAGGGATGAAACGCAACCAGGTACACGCCCTTGACCAGAACTGAATCCACGACTCATTGGTCCGTGGGCTGATACTCTAACTGCTCAGCCAAACCAGTCAGGGCAACCCTGGCCTATGTCAATAACCACGAACTCCATCTCCTGTAGCAACCCTTCCAGCATCCCGGGAGAGCCCTTCCTGAAATCCAAAGCTGACCTGATGAGGCTGTGCTTTAAGAGCGCAGTAGCTCCCCGCCCAGGAGAAGGCTATAGTCCTGGGACAGACTGGGCAGCAGGTGTCCCCTCTTCTTCTGCAGCTCATTGCCCAGCAGTCCCCACACCATCCTCCCTCTGCTCGCTGCAGGGCAAAGTCCCTGCTTCCTCCTGCCTCTGGATTTTGGACATTCTGTTCGCATAGTCGTCTTCCCAATCCAACTGCATCTGCTTGTTCAAACCCCTATGAGAAGACACTCCAGCCACTGTCATGTCCCTCAACTACTGGGGGAATCGCCCTCACTTCTCTTTCCACTTTCCTGTCGCAGCCCATTGTCCCAGTGTGGCCGGGCTTGCATTCAGCCCCCAATCCCCTCACAGCACCCTCCCTCCTAAAACCCAAAGTGGCCGCCCTCCTGTCACACTGACTGCCCGATCTGACCCCACAGGTTCTCCCACTCGTTGGCGGTGCTCCAGCCACACTGGCCCGTCTGCAGTTCCCCAAACCCCGAGCCCCTTCCTCCCTCCCGTGCACACCAGCCTCTGCTTCGAGAATGTCGCTCCCTGACCTGCCAGCCAGCTCAGTGTTCTAGGCTCAGCTCCAGGGCCACTTCCTCCAGGATCCTTAACCTACCTCCCCAAACAGAAACGTGGCCCCGTTATTCTCTCTCGAGGTACCCTGTTCTTTTCCTTCTTAATATGAATTACACTCTGTAGTTATTTTTGTGTGTGTTCATGTATCTGTATACTTTTTACTTAATGACTTTCTTTCCCTCTAGATTGTAAATCCAGGAGGACAGAACCTTACCCCGAGCAGGAATAGTGCACAGCTTTGCAGTATTTTGTTTATATGTCGATCTCTCCCCACAAGAACGGGAGTTTCTCGACACCAGCATCATTCTTCCGCGTGTTCCCAGCATAGCAAAGAAGACTCCCTCCGCTCCCACATCCAGCAGGGAGATTAACTCATAAAGGTGAAGTTAGGGAGGTGGGGATGGATTCGAAAGGCGAAGGGGAACATAGTCAATAATATTGTGATAAGCTTGCACAGTGACAAATGATTCTAGACTCAGAGAGGCAATCACATTGCAAGGTATATAAATGTTGAGTCATTATATCGTACACCGGAAACTACTATAATATTGTATACCAACTGTACTTTTTAAATTAAAATTTAAAGGTAAAGTGCTCCTAAACCTGCAGATAGACATACAGGAGCCCAGCCCAGCCAGTGTGGCTCAGTGGTTGAACGTCAACCCATGCACCAAGAGGTTGCCAGTTCGATTCCCCATCAGGGCACATGGCCAGGTTGTGGGCCAAATCCCCAGTGGGGGGCCTGCAGGAGGCAGCCAATCGATATTCTCTCTCATCGATGTGTCTGTCTCTCTCTCCCTCTTCCCCCCCTCTCTAAAATCAATAGAGGGAAAAAAATTTTGAAACATATTTTGAAATACAGAAGCCCTTCAGATAGCACTGTGACCAAATGCAAACCAAGCCTAAGCATCCTGAAATACACCTGAGTGTTTGCAATCCCCGCGCGGTGAAATCGAGTGTGTAGCAAAGTGATATTGGCAACAACAGCCGTATCTGTTGCATCCTGCCTTCCTCTTGAGCGGTCTGCAGCCTGGTTTTCTGCTGATACTGAAGCCCCGGATACCCTGGAGAACAGAAGACCTTTTTCAGAAGAGAGGGATGAAAAATGTTAGGGCCCAGGAAATGAAAGGAGGCTACAAAGGGCAAGAAGAGGCAACACAGTGATGTGCAAAGAGCTGGAGCTCTGAAGTCAGCCAGTGTGAGTGCACACCCCACCCGGTACCCCCACCTCAGATCTGGCCTTGGGCAGGTCCCTTGGCCTACTGTGTGCCAAAAGCTATATTAAGCTGCTGAGGTTACAAGGGAGCGCAGAAACAAACAAGTTTGCAGAGCTTGAAGTCTCTTCGGGGATGTGAACATTCAAATAATCAAACAGACACAAACCTGCCCCTGCGGCTGGCACTGCAGATAAGACGGCCCGTGAAGCCGCAGCCTGCAGGGAGGGAGCGGCGGGGCACAGACACTGCAGCCGGCTGGCCTCGGTCTGATCGCTAACACCACCGCTTACGAGGTAGATGAGCTTGGGCTAGTCAGTGGACTTCCTTCCTTATGCTTCAGTGTACTTATCTACGGAGAAGGGTAACGTAGTATCTGCGCATAGGGTTGTTATGAAAATTAAATGAGTTCACAGACAGAGGGCTGGTACCCATTGCTACTACATAAGGATTTGCTGTTTCATTATTATTGCTTTGCCTAACTGGGGAGGTCAGAGAAGGATTCCTAAAAAGTAACGTTTGAGCTGAGAGATCTAGAGATTAGTAGAGGTCACCAGGTGAAATGAGGAAGTGAAGTGCATAGGCCAGTGTCCACATTTAAGGACAGCGGCAAGTGTCCACAGGTAGGAGGAAATAAAAGCAGGTCACCAGGGCCGCCTTGAGAAATGAGATCAGACCAGGCAGGACATTGTAAGTACTGTCAGGAGTTTTATCTTCACCCTGCAGGCAACGGGAGCCACTTGGTTTCTTGAGCAGGAGAACGTGGCTCTGACTTCAGAGTAGAGGAGAGACTAGTGAGGGGACAGAGGGAGTGCATGCATGCGAGCTGGAAGTTCATGGCGGAAATCCAAAAGAAATGAGGATTCCGTGGACGAGAGGGATCGTAACACAGAGGATGAGCCATGGACAGATTGGAGAAGTGTTTTTGAAGATAAATTCACAACACTTGGTGACAGGGAAAGAGACACAGAGAAATGAGATGTCAGGGATGACCCCTACGTATCTGGCTTGCGAGACTGGATGGATGGCGAAGTCATTACTGAGAGGGAGAACAATGACGCACATAGAATGAAGCAGAAGGCCGGGTGCCCTCTAAATACATGTGTGTGAGTGTCAGAGGACAGGGAATCCAGGTGCTCTTCCCTGGGAGCCGTCACTGGACCTGCACATCTCATATTCTGTTAATAGTTCTGCAGACAGAGAGAACAACTGATCGTCCAAAGGTCATTCATACTTGACTATAAAAAGCAATGATGCAAGAACAGTGTACACTTAACCTGCGCTTTCTATCCCATGCCCCTCCACCTCAGGCCCTTCTCGGCAGATGGCCCATGGAAGCAAAGAGCTGACAGTGTCTTCAAAGGGCATAAGAACAAAACCATGTTCTCCTTGGTGTACAAAGAATCCAGGTGAATTGCCATAGAAACAGTAAGTGGATTCTAACATCATTATTATTTCTAGCTACCCCTGACTGAGCACTTGGAGTGTGCCAGGTACTTTGTCTACATTGTCTAGCACTCTCACACAGAACCTATGGAGACAGGAAGATTCCAAGACTAACTCACCTGTAGTTACACAGACACTGAGTGAGGGAGCAGGGATTTGGACATAGGTCTGCATGACTGTGAGGACAATCTTTTGTTTTAACCCCAGTGAATTTCTTTGAGCAACCCTTCGGCATTGACTCCCATGTGCAAAACAGGCATTTCCAGGTGGTTAAACACATTTAAGGTGAAGCCCTTGGCTGCACAACAGAACAAAGCTAATCGGCCTCTGCAGAGGTCAAACCACAACCTCGTCCTTATGTGATCATTCTGCCACAGGAGTGCTTCAGGCAGACAAACACTAGCCGTCAAATGACTACCAAGCATTTCATTTCCCTTTACCTTTTGTAGGTTGCTCATTTATTAAAAGCTCAGTCTTGCCCAGCCAGTGTGGCTCAGTGGATTGAGCGATGTCTCATGGACTGAGGTCCCTGGTTTGACTCCTGGTCAGGGCACATGCCAGGGTTGTGGGCTTGATCCCCAGTAGGAGGTGTGCAAGAGGCAGCCAATAGATGTTATTCTCTCACAGTGATGTTTTGACCTCTTCCTCTCTCCCCTCTTTCTAGAAAAATACAAAATAAAATAAAAGATCTCAGTCTTTCTAAACAAGCCACTGGATAGAAGAGAGACAGATGATGCATCTATAAATTATCAAATGGAAACACTTTTACAGAATCTGCCAAGAGAGGTAGGATGCAGAGTGCTGGAAACCCACCTTCAGATATGTGCAGAACCAGCTCGCAGGTCCTGGTCCTCAGTAATGTGTTCCTGCCATTGGCCTTGCCACGTGCTCACACTGCCACCTGCTGGCCATAGCATGCATCTCCGCTTCCCCAAAGGACCACCTAGAGACCCGCACAGCCTGTCAAGCAGATTGTTCACACTGTATCATTGCCTCTTTGCATTTTCAGGTGTCACGAATACTCGAGCAATTTTGATTCTCTGACCAAAAACTCTTTTCAGCCTGATTGTGAAGAAAGGCTGGTAGGAATCCATGCATGTGCTGGTGGTGGCAGAGAGGAGCTAAGAACACCAGGGAATAATGTGTGAGGGATCCCGGGCAGGGGAGGGCATTGGGGGGAAGGCTGTGTGGGCTTGAGAAGTCCCTGTGAGGACCTGCCACACCGGTGAATCCGGTGAATCTGGTTGTCTAACTTTCAGGACCCTCGAGGCTTTTTTGGCCACAAATAGAGTGACAAAACCTCCCCAAATCCCTCTTAAATATAGTGAGGTAACATCCTCCTGCATGTTTTCCTGTAAGCACAGCTCCTGAATCCAAGGGCAGGGGAGGCATCAGCTTGAGAACACAGTGCTATTATTTTATGAGACCACAGGCAGCAGTCTTTCTTTTTAGAAGAATTTCAGTCTCCCCCTTTCATTCACTCACAGCATGAAAATAAAAGTGTTTGAGCATTTCAAAAATTAAAGGCTTAGATCAAAAGTTAATCTTTATGCCCACCTGGTATTACTCAGTGGTTGAGCATCAACCCATGCACCAAGAGGTCGCCAGTTCAATTCCTGGTCAGGGCACATGCCCAGGTTGTGGGCCCAATCCCCAGTGGGGGGCATGCAGGAGGCGGCCAGTCAATGTTCTCTCTCATCAGTGTTTCTATCTCTCTCTCCCTCTCCCTTAAATCAATAAAGAAAAAAAAAAACAGTAAAAAAATAAAATAAACAAAACTGGCCACACCCTTGACATCACAATCACAATACATAAGAGGAAAAAACTGAAAAATTGGACTTCATCAAAATAAAAAACTTCTGCTCTGAAAAAGGTCTTACTAAGAAAAAGAAAAGACCAGTTCCTGGGAACAAAATTTGAAATTGTTGTCTGATAACTTCTGGTATCTGATGTCTTCTAGATCTTGGCACCTCAGTCTAGACTCCTTGTATAACATCCTGTAGTTATGTATAACTATTTTCTGCTGCATTTGATACAGAATTATCTGTGCTTTTATAGAAACATCCATCACCTACTCCAGGAGTTTAAATTTGTATCAAGATGTTACATGAGACATCCACTCAAGGAAAAATTAGAATATGGGCAGGTTCTCTGGGAAAACATCACGTGACATAGCGCTTGGCTGATACACAGGGTGGGGCTTCCCAAAGAGGAGAATCACATGAGTGAAGCCAGCGCGTCATAAATGGCACAGCCCCGCCCGGAGCCCGGAGCCCACTGAGCTCGAGGAAAGAAGGAAGCAAACAGCCCTCTTGGGATAGAGATCGAAGATCCAACCAGAAAAGAAGGGATGGCCGAAGGGGTCGTGACCCACAGGTTGAGAACCGCTGAGCTAACGGAATATGTGCTCCCGTCGTATAAAATTTTCACAGTGGAATTTCTAATACAGTAAATAGCGAAAGATAATAACCCACGTGAACAAAACTTCTTTGGAATCCTCAATAAATGTAAGAGTGTAAAAGGGTCTTGAAAAGAAAAAGGTTGTGAACCACTGAATCCGTACATGTCTGCAGTGTGACTGGAGCCCCCCGAGAAGCAGCAGCCACGTGTGGTAGTCATGACCACTCCCCTGCTCAGCACCCGCCCTGGTTCAGGGTTGGTGAGGCACCGTGGTTTTGAAGACAGAGCTGTGTTTGACCGCTTATTAGTTTATGTGACCTAGGCAAGTTACTTAATCTTTCTGAGTATGAGCACTTGCAGGGGCTTAGAACAGCATTTAATTCCTCTCCATTCTCCATCACTGGGATTCTCAACCCAAACAAACATACATATTCAAAAAAACCAAAAGCCAAATGAAAAACAAAAAAAAACATACTAATTTTATCAATAATTGGGCAAGTACCCCAAATCCCAACTCTAGTAAGATGTGGATTGAAGAGCAAGGCTTCCTCCTGCCGGTTCTCTTAATTCTAGAATTGACCAGCTGTCCGAGCAGATGCCTGGTCTACTTACCACGCTCCCTGGACAGCATGCCCAGCCTACCTCGCCCACAGGCAAAGGGGCAAAGCCCATGGATGCCAAGTGCAGGCAGGGAAGCTGCAGAGATGAGCAGAAAGCATTTCTGAGTCCTATAATTCTGTTCTCTGGGGAATATTTCAGATGCTGACCAGTGAATTTGCTGTTTTGCCTCTAATCTAGTGAGTAATAGATTAGAGGTAAAATGGAAGGATTGCATATTCTCCTTAGAGGTTATAACACCTCATGACCTGGTACATATCAGTCACTCAAGAAGTGATCGTTAATAGTAGCATATGTTGGGGTTAATAGGAAAAGAACCTGAAAAATAAGAGACCTGAACATTGTATAGTCTCTGTTTTCCACCCTTCTCTATGAGAGCACAAGGGACACTGGAAGCTGTAAAGTCCCCCCTTCCCCTAAAGAAGGTGTTTCTTTGCAGAGTTGCTCCAGCCTCTGACTGCGCATCTGAAGCCCTGGGGCTCAACATTCTTTGAGGCTTGTGGTTCAGCTGAATGACAGCTCTTTTTACTTGAAAGTTCTACCGCAAGGTCCAACACAGCAGGTCAATTTCATGACATACAAAGAGACGCATGACTTCCAAAGCATTTGCTAAAACAATAACTACTAGCTCCTGTCATTCGCGTGGCCTTCGGACGTGGACTGAAGAGTTGGCAAGGTGAGTCATAGAATCCACGCAAGTACCTGGGAGTCCTGGCCCTGCCCATTAGGGGAAATGCGAAAAAGAATGAAGGATCAGCCCAAACTTTAAACTGGTCAGTTGACTTCCCCCTAGTGATACAGTAACCTGGGTTGGAGTTACAGAATTTTATCTATCCATATCAAACCATAAAGATGAAATAGGTCACATAAGAATTTAGAAGGTCTTCACTGGGACTCCAGGGATGCAGGCTGCCAAACAAATGGCATTTATAAATCAGGGTCGTGGGCGAGTCTCCCTGAATGTCTAAGGAGAACCTCCCTGAATGTCTGCAGCCCCAGCTCTTGCCCCAGCCCCAAATCACTAGTCAGTTAGCATTCTCAGCCAGGTGAGAAGTAACCCTAATCTGCTCAAGATGTGACCTTATCTTCAGTGGGTGAGGGCCCTTTAATGTCCAGAAGATTGAGAGATAGAGATGATAAAGTAAACAAAGCTATGGTATCAATATTTTCAAGTTGCTTAGAAAATCTGGTACATTAAAGCATCCAACAGACTAAAATATGTAATTGAATAAAATATGTAATCAAATCATTGATTTTTAGACTTCTGGTTTAAGTTGAAAGATATAAGTGGGTTTGCTTATGTTCCTATATACTATCAGAATATATAAAAGAACTTAAGATTTATAATATTTATTTATTAAATTAACTCGAGCATTTTAATCTTAGAAGTAATTTACATGATACAGGAATTTAGATATTAAGAAAAGCAAAGCCAGCCATCACTAATCATCAGAGAGATGCAAATTAAAAAGACTATAAGGTATCACCTCACACCTGCCAGAATGGCCGCCATCAACAAATCAAACAAGTGCTGGCGAGGGTGTGGAGAAAAGGGGACTCTAGTACACTGCTGGTGGCAATGCAGACTGGTGCAGCCACTATGGAAAACACTATGGTGTTACCTCAAAAAATTAACAATGGAACTGCCATTTGACCCAGTGATCCCACTTCTAGGAATATACCCTAAGAAACCTGAAACACCAATCAGAAAGAATATATGCACCCCTATGTTCATAGCAGCAATATTTACAATAGCTAAGATCTGAAAACAGCCCACATGTCCATCAGTAGATGAGTGGATAAGAAGCTTTGGTATGTTTACACAATGGAGTACTATGCAGCTGTAAGAAAGAAAGATCTCTTACCCTTTGAAACGACATGGAGGGACCTGGAAAATATTTTGTTAAGTGAAATAAGCCAGTCAGAGAAAGACAAGTATCATATAATCCTACTTATTTGTGGAATATAATGAACAAAATAAGCTGACAATCAAAATAGATCCAGAGACATGGAAGTAGAGAACAGACTGACAAATAGCGGGAAGGAGGGTGGGGTGGGAAGAGATAAACCAAAGAACTTACATGCATATATGCACAAGCAATGGACACAGACAATAGTGTGGGGAAGACAGGAGGCAGGGAGGAGCAGGGAGGAGGGGGGTCAATGGAAGAAAAAATGGCAGGCATCTATAATACTTTCAACAATAAAGATAAAAAATAAAGAAAGAAAAGCCATTAAAGTTTAAAATATTTAAGAAACTAATTCATCAAGTTGATTAATAAACTCTTTTAAAATGATTGATAACATTTACTACATTGATAAATAGAATAACAGTAATTAGGAGTTGAATGTAACAGTTCAATTAAAAATGTTTTTTAGTTTTTAATTTTATATATCAAATTCTGATTTTAAAAACAAAAGTAACTCTTTTCTGTGAATGACATCATCCCCCAATACCACTAAACACACATGACATTTCTGATTCTGTGTTTCCTTTGATTCTGAGCTCTTGGCATTTGGTCTTTTACAGAACATAACCCAGATCCATGAAGAGCCAGCTTTTCAGAAGGAGGAAGAATCATCTACATGTCAAATGGGAATCTATTTCCTTACTATATTTAATCTCCAGGAATGGCCTCATAAAATAATAAAAGTCCCAGTTCACATTAGTATCTGATGCTTCATTCCATTATCAAAACCCATTACTACATAATTTATTGGCCAGCAGATAGGAAACTCCTTTTGTTTAGTCTTCAGCTCTAGGTAGATCAAGTTCTGGTTGTCTCTATCTCCATCAATATTAATCAAAATTACACAAAGACTAACTCCCTGTCTATAGAATTTTTGAGGGAGATTAAAATCCATGGTTGCGGTATCAAGTGTAAATATTTACATCCTGGGCTCCATATAAATATGGACCAGGGAGGAAGTGTAAAGAATGTGGTAGAAATGCTAACATCATAAAGTGAGGGGTCAAGGGATTGAGACATTATGGAAGATGAATACTCAGAAACAGGGCTTTAGGTATATGATTTAAAGTTATAAAAGTACCCAATAAAACAACTGAAATTATATGTATAAATTATATACAGATACACACATATGTGTGTGTGTCTTAAAACATTAGGAAGAGAGAATA